TCAAAAAACCATTTTTTTTGGGTTTTGTTTCAATCATGAACTAGAAGATTTAGAGTGAACACTGTCAATCTATATACCTCTTTCCCCATTCATGGCTGTTTGCTTTCTACATTAGACTCATTCCAAGTAGGATGATGGCAAGGAACATATTTGTCCTGGAGCTTCAGCCTGGGTTGGAGTGTTATTTAATTCAGTAAGCATTGATTAAGGGCCTACTGTATTATAGGCCTAGTCTGGGTGCTGGATCAATCAATGACTTTGAAAAAATAATATTTTTATTTTAAGCTAGACTGTGCAAACTCCACAAGAATTCAAATGAAGACTTCATTCTCCGTCCTCCCAAGTTGTCAAATCTGAAACAATAATGGCTCCCATAGAATCATAGATTTAGAGTTGTAAGGGACTAGAAAGTACAACTAATCCACCCCCCTCCATTTTCAGCTGATGAAACTGAGATGCCAGGAGGTAAGGTCACTTGCTCAAGGTCACACAAGAAATCAGCACTAGAAGTGGGATTTGAACCCAGGCTGCCTCTGACTCTAGAGTTCTTCCCAACAAACTATTCTATCTTATCAAAAGGGAGGCATGAGATAATTCTAAGCTCTGAGGTACGATTATTTCATAAAATGCCTCCATTTCTTCTACTTTTCCTGCCAAAAAATATTGTTTTTATTTTCACTTGAATAGCTTAACTTATAATTAGGGTTTGATGCTCAGTGACTAACCCTCTTCTTCTACATTCTTGCTACAAACCATCATATTTGTCACATGATTTTTTTCAAACACTGAGTTTTATTAGAGTGAAAAAATTACTCAGTTATACAGGAAAGGAAAAGAGATTAGGAATCAAGTCAAATCAGTTGCTTATTCATCTGTGTATGGTTAAATGATTGAAAATAATCTACAAGTTTTCTATTTTTCTGCTACAGACAGGCAGAAAAGTAAAGAGAAACTCTTTCTCCCTGTGCCATGAGGCCGAAGTTCATCTTCTTCCACTGGCCTTGGGAGATTGGAAACGTCTCCCCTCTGACACATTAAGGAGGGGGGTGGGGTACTGAATCCTAGAAACTGGGCAAGGCATCGAACTACTGCAAAACTGGCTCTTTCTGCTCAGTCCTGTTGGAGCACAAGAGCAGGAAAACATTTGCCCGACAACACTCATTAGGCAATTTTCAGTAGTTACAAAGCTCACTTAACAGACCCTCAAAAAAAAAAAAAGAAAGATAAAGGTACTTGGCTGACACTCTTGCTTTTTCTCCCTCCTGACCTCCCAACTCTGCCCACCTCTCTTTTGCTCATTCACTTGACACTCATCTAGAGGCTTTTTGGGTTGGTACTTTTGTAATCTCTGCAATGCCTGTCTGGGGGCTACACAGCCATCAAAAAACATTCTCAAGTACATTCTCACGTACACATGGTATCCTCCTAGCTGCTATGCATAATTAAAAGAACTGTACCTTACCTCTGGGAATGAAGAGGCAATGTGGGGTAAAGGAAGGATCCATAGGACTTGGAGTCTGGAGACACTTAGTTTTGAATTCTGCCTCTGACACTGACTATTTGTGTGGCTATAGTCAAGTTACTGCATCTCTCCTTACCTCAGTTTCCCCCCCTGTAAAACAGATAATACATGTGAAGATTATTATGAGGATCAAATCAATGAATCAATCCAGCACCTATTAAGTTCTTCCCATGGGTCAGGCATCAGTCCAGGCCCTGAGGCTGCAGATACAAACTTGATGGCCTCTGGTTCTAGACAGATCATCCTATAAGGCTATACCTGTAGGAATCAATCACGTACTTAGCGCTGGCTGTGTGCACAGGACCATGCCAGGCGCTGTAAGAGGAATAGAAAAGAAATCTAAGACGAGACTGTCCACATTCAAAGCATTCATAATTCAGCTGGGAAACAAGATGGGCATGCATGTGCTTGTGAGTATGCCAATATACAATTAGTTGCAGAATTGTGTGGAAAGAACTGTATCGTAGTAGTTCAAAGAAAGGGTAGATCAAAGAGACCTGCAGCTCCAGGTCATGGGAGCCTTCATGGATGAGTAAAGGCTTAAATGGGCCTTTGAATGATAAGGAAAGATATAGAAAGGGAGAAGAGAAGGTAGAGGGCATTCCTGGTATGACGAAAAGCATGAACAAGGGCACGGAATAGGGAATGGGCATGGTGTGTTTGTTTGATAAATAGGAGACAGCCTGAGTAACCAGAGTATTCATGTTGGTGAGTAGCAAGAAATATAGTTAGCTAAGTCAAGTCAGGCCAGACTATGGAAGGCTCTGCAACATGGACAGGGGAGATTATACCGGATGCTGTAGGCAACAGGAAGCTATTGTTAGTGTTTGAACAGAAGGGTGACATGATGGAAGTGGTATAGCAAGATGAGTCTGGTAGTAGCATGCAATTTAGGTCGGTGAGAATAAAGGCCGATCTGAATTAGGGAGGCAAATTAGGAAGGAATCTGGTCCAGTGATTCAGGCCTAAGAAAAGGACTTGGACTAGGGTGATAGTAGCTGGAAGGGAAGAGAAGGAGCAGAAATAATATAGGTCATGAAAGGAAGGGGCATCAACGGAGACTTTAAGCAATGAAAAACAGCAGGGCCAGATTCAAGTGATGTTTTGAAGAAAAGGAAGTATCTGATGATAGGCAAATGTATAGAAGACAGGGCAAGGAAGAACAAAATATAATTCCCAAGTTTTGTGATGAGGAGACTGGAGAGATTGTGGAAGCCGGGCTTGGGAGGCCACTGTGGAGAAAAGAGGAAGGACAGAGAACTGTTCCAGGTTCAATTGGAGTTAGCCTGTTTTGGAGAAACTGCTTAGTCAGGAATGGTCAGGGCAGGAAGGTGAGCAGCAACTATGGAGATTTGTGTGTCTTTGCCACGTTCACAATTGGTGAAAATAAATGGTCAGAAAGAAACAAAATGTCTCAATTCTGAACTTCATCTTTAGCAGTCTTAAAAGCAATGCATTTGTAGATGATTTTTTTTTTTTAAAAAAGGGTGCTTGTATCACCTCCTTAACTGGCACCTTTTGCTATTGCGATTAAATTGTACAAAATCCTTATTGCAGACTGCTTCAGTGTTGTCTGACCGTGACGATACCCAGGATTCCTGGGAGGACTCTTGGATGTGTCTCACATGAAACAGATGGACCCTCTAACCTGGCAGGAGGCAAAGACCTAGGTCAGCCAAACCAAAGCTAACAATCTTCCAGGGAAATAGGTGTGGGCAGGATAGGTGGTTTTGGAGGGCAGGATTTACAGACGGATGTAGTTAATTTTTTATGAACAGTCTCATACAGTGGAGAAGAAACTGCATTCCAGAGTCCCTTAACAGGAATTTAAAAGTACAAACATGTTATTGATTTCCTTAGCTCAGGTGGAGAGGAAGAGTGAAGGATGCCCTTCTTATTGCTAAGCTCTATGCAAATGTATTTTTCAAATGCACAGTAAGCATAACGACGTCCTTACTAATCTAAAAGGATTATCTCTTCTTTCTGATTCTGAGAAAGAGAATTAGCCGCAACAATAACAGAGAGGGCCGCACTGCTCTTGTTTACCAAACATTCTGCCAGGGCAGGCAGCCTGGGCAGCACCAGCCTCAGCCCAGCTTTTCCAAAGAAAATGTATGCACAAAGGCCTATATAACCTGGGTAAGGTTGTCACCCTAAATCCTCTTCTGAGAATCCATTACAAGCTAAGCTACTGTCCAAGTTAAGGCTTGTAAAACATCTGGAATAGGTTTAAAAAAAATTATGGAATCTTTTCTGCATCTGTTTTTGTACTAACTAACCATTGTAATTATTGGTCTAACAGAGCGTTATGAAGGAAGGGTACCTGTGGGGTCCCCTGCTAATCATCACTGGAGCACAGATATTCCTTCTGTCCTTCCAGTAATGATTTTCTCTCTAAAAAAAGTAGAGGCCAACATGGTCTTAGTCTCCTCTATAATTACAGTAATCACCTGTCTGATGATATTCCAGTTCTCTGGGGCCAGTAGAAACAAGGCGACTGTTTGAAACTATAAATTTTCAAAGTCGTTGCATGATCTGCTACTTCATGGCCACTGCATGTAAGTTGTATAGTATTCTCACTACTCTGAGACCTCTTTCACTAGACCTCCTTCTCTAGCCAAAAAATGTATCCACATATGTCCCAATGACAGATGGGTTTATGTTGCTTTGAGCCTAGGATAATATTTTGCCAAAAGAATGAGAAGAGTGAAACCAACCCAGGATGCACTTATGTCTCTCAGATTCATTTTTAAATGGTCATGTAAGGATACTGCTTTCAATGAAAAATCTACCCATTTCTCTCCTAGATCTATATATAATGCAATTATGAAACAGAATAGTCAAGTAAGGGAGTAGGTAGGAAGAAGGTAGAAATTCAGATTCTGTGTGAGAAAGAAGTAATTTTTGATTTTTGGCCATGTTAATGCTCATTTGAATCCTTTCACGTGTGTGCGGCTCAAACTCTTCATTTCTTAGAATGCCACAGGGACAGCACAAGCTTTGTAATGGAAATTGGTACTTCTCTAAAGTATGTTTGAGAGTTGGATCACTGGAGCAAAACCAAGCTTTCTTTGATTAGAGATATTAATTTTGGCACCTGTGCATTTATATTCACAAAGAAACATTCTAAAGATGTGAAATTTTCATGATGTAAGCCAGGAAAAAAGATATTGGTGTAGGCTTTAGGATTCTGGAAGATTGCAGAATGCAAACTGTCATGAAGCCAACTTAATATAGCTGTTTCCTTTATGCTCAAAAGATTCCCTGGGGACTTCACTGCTTACATACAGGAAATAAGGTCTGTTCTGATACAAGAACTCGTTTTTCACAATGTAGACAACTACAGGAAATGTTACAAATTATACAAATTCTATATTTAGTTGTAGACAAATAATATTCCTAAAATAATGAGAAAATTAGGAGATGATCTAGAGTTAATGACAAATCCAGAAAGAAAACCTCGAGAATAATTCCATGAGTATTTCATGATATTGTTTTCCAATTTATTTCCTTGCTTAACTGAATAGGTTGCTCAGTTTATTCATCATATATTTGCCTTACAAAGGCTAGTCATTTTCTTAATGTTTTAGAAAGTCTGTATTGACAATTCTTTTCTTATCTAGTATGAAAAATACCATAATTGACTGCAGAAATCTGAAAACACCATTTGTCCTCTGTCAAACTATTCGCCCAAGGTACACAGATTTGGGATATTTTCCCTTAAGGGTTGGCCACTGAACAAAGAAGTAATCTGAAAAGTGGTAAAGAATCTTTCCGGAAAGGGATAAGGTTTCCACTCTGCAGATGCTTTCAACGTAGACAATGATCACTTTCTTTATTCCTAGTATCCCAAGAAGAAGGGCAGATGCACAGATAGGAATACATGTTCCTGGTCCATTACACAATACCTAAAAAAAGAGAGAGAAAACTTTAAAAGTAAAGTTCAAACAGACAATTTCAAGCCAACTATTTGGTAAGCTTAGGCCTTTTACATCAGAACAGTCAAATATTAGAGAAATTCTCAGGTTAGTCTAAGTTTTACATTACAATTCTTTGTCACTCACTAGGACACTATACCAACAACTAAGATTCATCCCATTTTCATATCAAGTAACCCAAGCAACATGTTTCTGCTTATTTTTATACTTTTTTTTTAAAACTAGGTATAGAATCCTTTTTATTTAAATTTTTTTGGTGAGGCAATAGGGGTTAAGTGACTTGCCCAGGGTCACACAGCTAGTACGTGCTAAGTGTCTGAGGTTGGATTTGAACTCAGGTCCTCCTGACTCCAGGGTCAGTGCTCTATCCACTGTGCCACCTAGCTGCCCCTTAAGTCATACATTTTTGTCTGGTTGCAGGACTAATTTTAAAAATTGGAATTTAACATGGGGAAAACACTTCTTAAAACAATGAAATCTATACTTTGTTGGTAAAAATACAATTTTCTAAAGGGGAATTTCAAAATTATCATTAGAACTGTCTGGCTTTAATCCAAAATTTTCTTTTCAACAAACAGAGAATGAAGAACACTACCTAGTTAATGCTATTTAAGTCTTTGTTTAAACCTGCAGGACTTAGCTATCTCCTTCTGAAAATCGAAGGATTTTAATGCTTTTTAAAATTCTATTATTTTTTACAGAAGGCTGTGGATTGATGCGACAATAAATTTACTTGGTTGTCTTACCCAGCTGAAGAATAAGCATTTTCAGATGTACTTAACTGAAAATTATTTTATAATTCTCTTATGGAAATGAAAGTATATTTGTTTCATAGGACAGCTGTGTGGATTTTCAGAAGGAAAGGAATGATATTAGGTACTATGTATTAGCTGATAATTGGCTGAAGTAGTAAAAACAAATATGTGTTTGATCACATAAAGCATGAAGCAGATTTTGTCTGTTACACATACCACCATACTGCCATTTTGTCACATGATGCCATTGTGATATCATCTGCATGCCATGCTACCTGAAGCTATAGCCTCTACCTCCTCCTGGAGCTCAAACTTTGCTTTCTGTTACTCTGGGCTCTGACTGGTGAGCATTCTCTTTATTTTTCTTTCCCTGGTCTTTGGACATCACCTGTCTTTGAAGAAGGTGGGATCTGAGCTGATGAGCCTTGAAGGAAGCCACGAAAGCCAGGATGTAGAGGGCAAGAGGAAGAGTATTCCAGGTACAGGGGCAGCCGGTGAAAAGCAATGGACTAAGGAGAAGGAGGATTCTAATTCGAGGAACAGAAAGTCAATCAGTGTAGCTGGAACAAGGAGAATGGGAAAGAGAGCAGAGTACAAGATGATTAGAAAAGGAGGAAGAGGTCAGGTCGTGAAGGGCTTTAAATGCCAAAGGAGTGTTTACATTTGATCTGGGAAATAATAGGGAATCTCTGGAGTTCAGACAGGCAGCTAGGTGGGACAGTGGGTAGAGCACTGGGCCTGGAGTTCAAATTCCACCTTGGACACTTAGTAGTTGTGTGACTCTGGACAAGTCATTTAAGTGCTGTCTGTCTCAGTTTCCTCAGCTGTAAAATGGGGATAATAATAGTACCTACTTCTGTGTTTTTGTAAAGATCAAATGAGATATTTGTAGAGTACTCAGCACAGTGCCAAACATAGTAGGTGCTTAATAAATGTTCGTTCCCTTCCCTTAGTGGAATGGAGGACTCTCCAGTATTTCTGATTTAAAAAAAAGACCAGATGATTTTTTCCCCCCTCTTCTCCAAGTGAAGAGAAAAAGATTTGGGAGAAGAGTGTCTTCTCCTACCTCCTCTTGTGGCTAAAGCATATTCTTTATACTTTTTACAAGATTTACTTCCAATTGTTTTGTTCTTTCCATTTACATTGTTGAAGGCATTGTGTATATTGCTTTCTTGGTTCTGCTTACTTCACTTTGTATTAGTTCATATTAACTTTTTCCATGCTTCTTTGTATTTATCATAGTCATCATTTCTTATGGCAGAGTAATGTCCCTTTATATTTAACTACCACAATTTATTTTATGGGCAACTAGGTGGCACAGGAGATAGAGTACTGGGCTTGGAGTCAGGAAGTTCAAATCTGGCCTTAGACATTTAATCACTGTGTGACCTTGGGCAAGTCATTTAACACTATTTACCTTAGCTCCTCATCTGTAAAATGAGTAAGAGAAGGAAATGGCAAATCACTTCAGAATCTTTGCCCAGAAAACTCCAAATGCGGTCACAAACAACCAGACACAACTGAAACGACCAAATAATAACAACAAAACCCACAATTTATTAGGTATTTCCTAATTGGTAGGCATCTACTCTGTTTCCAATCAATCAATAAACATTTATTAAGTGCCTATTAAGAACAGGCACTGTGTTAAGTGCTGAAGATACAAAAAGAGGCAAAAGACAGTTCCTGCCCTCAAAGAGCTAAGAATCCAATGGGGAAGACATCATGTAAACAGATATATACAATGCAAGCTATATATAGGATAAATAGGAAATAACAGAGAGAAGGCACTGGAATTAAAAGGGGCTTGGGAACACTCTGTGTAGAAGGTGGGATTTTAGTTGGAATGTAAAGGAAGATGGGAGGCCAGTAGTCAGAGCTGAGGAGGGACAGTGTTCCAGGCATGGGGGATAGCCTGAGAAAATGCCCAGAGCTGAGAGATGAAGTGTCTTGTTTGTGGAACAACCAGGACGCCAGTATCATGAACTGAAGAGTATGCATTGGAGGGTAAGGTATAAGAAGACTAGACAGGCAAGAGGGGGCTAGGTTATGAAGGGCTTTGAATACCAAACCAAGCATTTTGTATTTGGTTCTGGAGGAAACAGGAAGCCAATGGAGTTTACTGAGTAGGAGGATGATTAGATCTGTACTTTAAGAAAATCACTTTTGTGTCTAAATGGAGGATGGACTGGAGTGGGGACAGACTTGAGGCAGGCAGATTCATCAGTAGGCAATTATAATAGTCTAGGCATGCACTGATGAGGGCCTGCATCAGGGTGGTGGCAGTGGCAGAGGAGAGAAGGAGGCATGTTTGAGAGATATTACAGAGGTGAAAGTGACAGACCTTGGCAGCAGCTTGGTTTTGGGGGAGTGAAAAATAGTGAGAAGTTGAGAATGACTTATAGGTTGTGAGCCTGAGAGAGGATGGTGTTGCCCTCTATGGTAACAGGGAAAGCAGAGGGGATGTTCAGGGGGAAAGATAATGAGTTAGAATATTTGAGGGAACATCTATATATGCTGAAATCTGCTAATCAGAAGACAGGAGTTGGGGTAGAGAGAAAGAATGAACCACACACTGAATTCACTGAAGAAGGAAGACAAATTTCCTGGGGCTAGTGGATAACTACCACCAGCACTTAGATTTGTTGATAAATTTGGATAGTGTGAACCTCAAAAGAGAAGCCTTTGCAGACTGATGGTGACAGAGGTAGAGTCTGGAAGTGGCAATGGGGAGAAAGATGTATTCTGACTCTCCCAAATCAATGTGTTTTTGTATACTAAACTGCTTGTAGATGATTTAATTCAGAATTTTTAAAAAATGAAAGGAGTAGGTCACGGGCAGAACCTTGAGAGACATTTGTAATTAAGGGGTGGGAAGATGATGAGATCAGAGGGTGAGGAGGAGAAACATAAACATTAGTGTGCAAGTCATGGGATCCAGCTGAGGAAAGTATATTAAGGAGGTAGTTGGTGTGTCAAATACTGCAGAGAGGTGAAAGAAGATAAGGAAAGAGAAAAAAAGGCAATTGGATTTAGCAGCAAGATTAGTGATTTTTGAATTCAAGAAGTTGAGGAGTAAATAGGTGGTATGGAAGTTGATATCCTTTCTGACTAGATTGTAAGCTCCTGGAGTTATACTTTTTAGTGTTTGTTAACTGGGTAGACTAGTACAGTACCTATGGTTGTAATTCAGCAGTTATCTATCTATAAAAGATAACTAATAAGGTGATATAGACAGATGCTTAATGAATGCACATATAAGTTCTATTGAAGTTCAGAGGAGGAAGAGCTAATTGTGTACTGACTCGGAAATGACTTGGAAAGGTTTACCTAAAGAGATGGGACTTAAGCACTAGGAAGAATTAGTCAGAGTGAAGGGATGTAGGCTGGGAGAAAGAAGAAAAGACATTAAAGGGGAGAATACAAAAGATACTTTCAGAGACAACGGACAGACAAGTCTGGCTGGAGTGAAGGGTTTGGCTAAGGGAGCAGTGGAAGATAGGGTTGGAAAGTAGATTTGGCACCAGATTATGGAATTTTTGCCAGGAGCTGGGTCCCAGTCTCAATCACATACATTGTAATTTACCCTCTTTTAATGTCATCTATGAGCTTACAAGGATTTAAGGGCAAAATAGTAAGCTACCAGATACTCTTTTTCTAAGTAGGAGACTCTTTTCCCATCCCTTCCTCTCTTAAGCAAATTCTATAAATGTGTTTTGTTTTTACATTACAAACATTTACAGATGCCATTTGGTGAGAGATCTCTTGTAACAACATAAAACAATTAAATGAAACTAACAATATAGTGACCTCATCTGAAAATGAATGCAATATTCCACATCTCTTGCATGCACCCCCACCCCTCTTTTTTATTAACAAAAATCTATTTTCTCTCCTACCATCAATTTCATTAAAAAAGTGAGAGAGAGAGAGAGAGAGAGAGAGAGAGAGAGAGAGAGAGAGAGAGAGAGAGAGAGAGAGAGAGAGAGAGAAAAGCAGTAATACATAGTCAGGTAAAACAAATTCCTTCCTTGGTTGTTTTTAAAAATATATGTCTCATTCTGCATCCTAAATCTATTGCCCTTCTTTTAGAAGGTGCATAGTATATTTCATCATTGATCCTCTGGAATCATGGACGGATGGTTAGTATATTGTTCACATTTCTTAAAGCTTTCAAAGTTGTCTTTACAGTTGTTATTGTGTAAATTCTAATGG